CTTTCTTTTTCCAGTTCTGCCTATATGAAGATAAGTTAAAGGTCCTGCTCGACCATGGTTGGCTTTGCTTGGAAGCATGGAGGAAATGATTCCTCTGTGTTGACTCTCTTCTTTATAGACTGGACACACATTCTAATACATTTAAAAATTTTTGTATTATGCTTTCGTGTCAAGTAATGAAATCTGATGTATTTTGTAGTTTATTTTGTTGCTGGTGTCTTAGTTTAATTTCCTGTTGCTGTGATAAAATACCTTGACAAGAGCAATTTAATGGAGAAGGGGTTTATTTGACTTATAGTCCCAGGTTATAGTCAAGGTAAAGTCAAGGCAGAAGGAACTTGAAATAGCCATAGTCGCAACCAGAGAGGAAGGAATTAATGCATGTATGCTGGTACTCAGCCTGCTTTCTCCACTCTTTCACAATAGCAGCTCTCCTATCTAGGAGTGCTGCCACCTACAGTGGGTGGGTCTTCCTGCCTTAATTAACATAATCAAGATGATGCCCCACAGACACATCCATAGGACAACCTGATCCACATAACCCTTCACTGACACTCTCTCCTCAGGTGATTCTAGATGGACTTGACAATTAAAATTAATCATCATGGCTTGGATAACTATTAGTTTCTTAGGGCTGCTATAGGAAAGTAATCCCAAGTAGGTGTTTTATGTCAACAAGAATTGTTTGTGACAAATTTCTGGAAGCTGGCTGTCCAAAATCAAGGTGTAACAGGGTCATGCTCATGGAAAGAGTCCTTCCTTGCCCTGCTAGCTCTGGCAGGCTGTGGTGGCTCTTGGCTTGTCTCTGTACCTCTCTGTAGCCCCAGCTGTCCTGGAGCTCACTATGTAGACCAGGCTGGCCTCAACCTCACAAAGATCCACCCTCCTTTGTTACCCAAGTGCTGGGATTAGAGGTGTGTGCCACCACTCCCAGCTTAATTTTTTTGTTTCTTTGAGACAGGGTCTTCCTGTAGTCATTGAACTTGCTATGTAGAAAAGGCAGGTCTCGATGGCGAAGAGATCTGCCCACCTCTGCTTCTGAGTGGTGGGGTTAAAGGCGTGCAGCACCGTGCCAGAAAGTGTAGCTTCTTTGTGTGTTGTGAACAATCTTTTATAGAGGAAGTCATGATCCTCTTTTTGTCTCTGGTTATCTAATGAGGTCTATTATTTTGCCATTTTTCTTTACCTTTTGCATTTTATATTTGGTGGATTATCTGTTCATGTCATTTGGAACCTTCTTGTTTTTCTTCAGCAATTTCCAAAAGCTTTTGGTTTGTTAAGGCATGAAAGTTAGAATATTAACATTCTAATGCATTTTTAAAAATTATTTATTTAATAACCACACAATCAGAAGAAGCATTTCATTACAACGGCATTGACATAGTCAATAACAATTTCCAGAGCTAAGATGCATCTCCCTCAAAATTGGCTGCAAATTTTTAGGTTTACAGTTGAATTAATACAGTTATACAATATTGTACTCAGTATAAACCCTATGAGACGTAAAATTAAATGAGGTTTTAAACTTTAAAAAAGATTTCCATCTCACTATTAAAATACACAGTTTCATACATAAAATTCATTTTCAATACAATTGACACTAAGATGCACATGCATTTCTAATCACTATATATCTCATTATTATTAGTCACAGTCAATTACTTTCTTCAATGATGTTTTACATATCTACTAATTATTAAGGAGCAAATTTTTATGCTTTGAAGAATTTTTTCTTTTCTTTTTTTTTATTTATTTATACATCCACTTCCCAGGTAGCACCCTCCCATAGCCTTCCTCCCCCCACTAGAGTCCTTAGACTCTACTGTCTGCTGTGTTGTCGGCACCCCCAGCCGTTCCCCACTACTTGCTGTTCTGATGAATCTAGTCAGCCTATCTAGAGGTCT